ACACACACACACACACACACACACACACACACACACACACACACACACACAGAGCAGAGGGTAGTAGACGGTACAAGTCGCCAGTCGAGACTCCAGCGTAGAATAGAACGCAGAGCAGCGGGTTGAGAGTAAACCGTGTCTCTAACACACACACGTCCGAGTCGTGCGAAGTGTAGTCGGACAGCCGGAGAGTCGAGAGTCGAGAGTCCGGCGGAGTATCCAGCGCAAACAATTAGCGAGTTGAGAGTGAAGTGTAGCGTGGTAGCCAGTCGTAGCCAGTCGAGAGTCGACCGTCGCTTAGCGGGAGAGAGAGTCGACTCCAGCCGTAGACTCGACTGGTAAGTACAGACTCCGATCCAGCGTCAGCCTGATGGGGGCGGCGCGATCAGCGATCCAGCATGGCCCAGATGGCGGCAAGTCCAGACTCCAATGCAGCGTCGGCCTGACGGGCGCGGCGCGATACAGCATCGCCCACATGGGGCCGGCTTTCGTTCCTTTCTTCTATCCTCCTCCTTTTCGCCCCTCGTTCTATCCTCCTCCTTTTCGCCCGTCATTCTATCCTCCTCCTTTTCGCTTTTTCAGAAAGGGCGATGGCCTTGAGATATCATCTTTTCGGTAGGTAGTGTAGGAATAGGCTCAGGAGTCGGTACACAAGTTTTGAGACGAGATCAGTACGTCGCTGAGGTTGATTTGGACTGGTAATTTGGATGAGTGATTTGTTTGAATTGTTGAATCGGGTTTCGCCGGGGAGGAGTTGGGGCCTCGCCACACCACTCTCGAAATGTGGAAAAGACAAAAATGTGGCGGGTGCATCTGGCCATGTTCTCAGCAGGAAGTCCATTCTCATTTTGCACATTTCGAGAGTGGTGTGGCGATGCCCTTGGAGATACGACTTCGGAAGGTTGGTAGTAGTGACCTTCTGCAGGCGTAAGCCAGAGCGCTAAGCTGGCTGAAGCTGTCAGTACACCAGGTTGAATTGTGAGGTCCCTGGGGCCAAGTCCCAATAGGTGGGGTTCAGTTCTCCGCACCGGTACTGTGTGTCATTCCGCGGCGGGGTTCAGTTCCCCGCACACGTACTGTGTGTCATTGCGCGGAAGCGGGCGGCACTGTGCGACACCATTTGAATTGTTTTTCCTTTGTGGGGGCGGGAGTTTTGGGAAAGTTACGAGTAAAAATTTTGGCCATGCTGTGGACCCTGCGACCCGACAAGATGGTAACCCCAATCGCCTCAACCGAAGCCCAGACCTCGGTCATCATGCTGGCCACCTTACCCCATTGGGAAGTTATACCAAGTCTTCCTATCTCCTTGAAGGAGGGATGGACGGGCCACACTCCGGGAGATATACTAGTCATTGTCTTCTTGAGCCTCCGCTATAAATTCCTCCTGAATGCACTAAATGCGATGCCTGTATCATACACCCACTGCGGGAAGGAGTCATTGAATGCCCCCTACCCGTCCGGGTCATACACGTCATCCGACGTCGTTTGTCCCTGTTATACGTCTCTATTGAGGGGAGCCGTCCTCCGTGACAGCCGTCCTCTTCCCCCTCGGGCCCTGTATGTCCTCCACACTGGCATGCACACCCCTCATCCGCCTCGAAGTCATAATCACCTCCCCCATGCAAGTCAAGTGTAGGACGACCCGCCCCACCCTCACATCCCTCCTACGCAGGTGCAGGCATTGCCGCCTCGTCGAGGATGTTCTGAACCTCGTCTACAAAAACACGCTCCTTTGATCTTCTCTCTTTGCTACCCCCCCAATCTCTCCCACCTCCTCTACGCCCTCCGAAGGCTCGTATGTCCTCCTCCATGTACACTTGGATGTCGTGATGGTATCGCTGATTGAACTCCTCGTTTGTGTTCTTCCATATATCAATGCACACAGACATTGGGGTCACCACGCACCTCTTCAACTGTGTGAAGTGGCGAACCGTGTCCCACTTTTTCCAATTAAACTACTTCTGGTGACCAGAAATCCAACAGGCTGTCAGACAAGATTTTTATGAATTTTATAATAAATAAATTAATTAAATAATGCATATCCCTTCTTGTTGTATGCGTTTGACTTCAAGCGAGACCATTTAATTGCGGTCTACGCCGGTCCCCGATCTTATAAATCTTTTACTATGATTCGAAACAACAAAGATCATGCAAATAATAATTATAAAATATAAATATGTCATGCATGTATCAAGTTT